ACAGAGAGGGAAACAGGCTCAGGGGGTTCCCTGCAGCACCTGGACCTCACACCTCACCAGGGGCGGAACTAGCCCTCGGATGGCACTTTTCTGGACTCCAGTGCTCGTGTTCTGAACTTACCACCTGGAAAACCAGTTGTGATAAGTGTCTAGAAATGGAATTGCGGGATCATTTAAAATTGCCCCCCATGTCGGCCACCCCCTGTGCCGCACGTGCTCCCCACCCTGCCGACACCATGTCTGTCTCACGCACTTTGATTCTTCAAAGAGCACACCTTGACTTTATCTTCCTTCGGTTATGAGTGCATCGAGCACCTTTCCTTCCTCAGAGCTGAATTCATTGCCCAGGTAAATGTCGACCAGCAGACACGCAGGCTGACCCCTCATAAAGGGCAGGAACAGAGCTGTACTGTGTAGGGCTGGACCTACACACAGGAGCAGCACACCGACAATGCCACGGTCCCCACAAAACTCAGGCGTGTGGTGACCTGGGGTGGGGGAGACACGCAGGCTTCTGGGAGGTGGTCGTCCTCTGTACGCTTCGGCCAGTGGTGACCTGGGTGTTGGCTGTGTTGTTATTTGAGACAATTATGTCTTAGGAGATTTTCAGTTACATTTTATAATTAAAAAAAATTTTGGAGGCACCTGGGTGGCTCGGTTGAGCGTCCAGCTTCGGCTCAGGTCCTGATCTATAGGTGCGTGAGTTCGAGCCCTGTGTCGGGCTCCGTGCGTCAGCGTGAAGCTTGCTTCAGAACCTGCTTCGTATCCTCTGTCTCCCTCTCTCTGCCCTTCTGCCAGTCATGTGCTCTTAAAAAAATAAAACATTAAAAAAAGGTTTTTTTCCTTAACGATCAGTGTCTTTAGCCAAAAACTTCAACTTGAGTTACTTTTGTTTGTCTTTCTGAGAGGGAGAGCCAGCACATGCGTGCACGTGGGGGGAGGGCAGGGAGAGGGAGAGGGAGACAGAGAATCGATCCTAAGCGAGCTCCACGCCCAGCGCAGAGCCCAAAGCAGGGCTCAATCTCAGAACCGTGCGTGAGATCGTGACCTGAGCCCAATGCTTAACCGACTGAGCCATTCAGGTGCCCCCAAATTGAGTTACTTTTATGTTCCATTTTTTTTAGAAGCTGAGTGCACATTTTTAAAAGAATTTAATTAAGGCTTTGTAGCACAACCAGAAACAACACAGTATGGGACGACCTTCAGCAGTACTTTTCTCCACTTTGTGGTGGAGACGCTTTTGCTGACTGTAGCTCAGCAGCATCACTGGGGATCACTGAGGGCTCATCTGCCCGGTCCCGCTCTGCCCCCTAGACTTGCTGCCCCCTCACCAGCCGCCCTAGGTCGGTCCTCTTGTTACGTATCGCCTCCTGACAGTTGACACACAAGGCCAGAGGGTTGGAGCCACTTGTCCAGGCTCAGTTGGCCAGTGGCTGTTCAGGAGCTCCCCCCGCAGTCCAGTGCTGTGCCATGCTGTGCTGGCTTCCCCAGCCCGGTGTGCAGGGCCTGGGAGGGCAAGGTGTGTGGACGCCCCAAGGTGACACGAGCATGCGCCCGCTTCCTGCACAGGCGGCCCCGGGACACTGGCATCCCAGCAGCCGCTCTGGGTCATCATCCACTCTGGCGGTGGAGCCCATCCCCTGGGAGCCCACGGGCCTGCGTGCTCGTGTTTCTCCGTGTCAGCCGTGCGTGTTACTAGAGCCAAGCAGGGACTGCTCGCCACGTGGTTTCTTAAACAGTAGGCAGAGCTCAGCGCTGCGAAAAATGACATGATAAGCAGTCGTGAGTCCTACACCCCGTCCATCCCGTGTCCTATGTGCACACGGCCCCCCAGGGCGGGGTGTGGGGACGTGGAGTAACCACTTTGTTGATTCAGATACAAGTGAATATACGCTGTACAGAATGTTGTGTGCCTTTTGTCGCTGAGCGGTATATACATCCAGGAGATGTTTTGTTATCGGTACGTAGACACCACAGCGAACGCTCTGCAGCATTTGTGTCCCTGGCATCCTTCTAAGCATGTGATGTCTGAGCTACAGTGAGGCATTGAATCCGCTCACAGCGCTGTGAGCAAGGTCCTTTCATTCTGCAGTTGAGGATTTGCGGGCACAGAAAGGCCAAGTAATTTGTGTGTGGTCACCTAGCTAGTTAGTGGGATGCATCTTTTTTCCTCTTGTGAGATTTTAAGGTACATCCTTGGTACATGAGGGCCGTGACTGTGACAGCCCTCCCGCCCCCGCGTGCCGAGAGGAGCTGGCATCTGTGGAGTGAAGAGACGGCCAGCTGGCATTGTGTGACAGCCATCTCTGCTTCACGGAGGCTTTTGGGCGTTGACTTTGGTGTCTGGTCAGAGTCATCAGCTGTGAAAAGTTAGGCATTAGATGCATATCTTCATTATGACTCATCAAGTCACTTACCTGTACTGCAAGGCGTTCCGTGTCTGAAATTTGCTGACACATGTAGTTGTCACTGGGCGTTCTGGCCAGAATGAGGTCAGAAGAATGACTGATCTGTGTTATTTTCCAGATTACAGGTCTGCCTTGAATATGACATGTTGTTAAATTCATTTATGTCTGTCTGACCTAAAAGTGCAACAGCTATTTGCTTTTAACATAAAGGACTTTTCACGGGTTTAATGAAGAAGACTATTCAACAGACAACACACCAAGTTCAAAGTTAAGGAAATTTTAGTAGATGGGAAGTGGTGTTTTATGCCACCTTACCGTCTTGTCTCTAGAGGCCAGCCCGGTTCAGCTTCCAGAAATGAAGGTCCCAGAAGGCCCCCAAAAAAGCAGGTCTGACATAGGGCTTTAGGGACCCTCATCAACCCAATCACCCCAACCTTGTTGGCCTAAACCAGGGACTGGCATTGAGGTGTCCCTAGGAGGAGAGGTCTCTGAAGTAATGAACGTCAAGGATGGGACCAGATGGATGTCGTGGGTTTGCTCACTGTTGTGTAATTGTTTCCACAGGGGGGAAAGGAAGTGGTATCTTTGACGAATCCACGCCTCTGCAGACGCGACAACGTCTCAACCCACCCGGTGGGAAGACCAGTGATATCTTTGGGTCCCCAGTTGCTGCTACGTCGCCTTCAGCACACCCAAACAAACCCAAGGTATGGGCTACGTCAGGTAGCACACGCGAAAGTAGGAAAAACAAAGGCTCTGAGGCAGGTGTGGTGTGTGAGGGGGAGGAGGCAAGGTGGCTGACGTTGGTTTTCCTGAGTGCGGTCGCTAGTCACAGGGTTTCCCATCTCCCCTGAATCACGGGAGACTACACGCCAGCCTCGTGATGACTGTACCCTGGGAAGCTGGTCTCGTGTGCCGATGGGCGACCGTCCTTCCCTGCAGGTGCTAGTGGTCACCGGGAGCACAGCAGCCCCATTAGATTAAACTTGCTCCGGTGTTTCGAATTCATGGGCTCATAATCATACTTGGAAAAGTCTAATTGTTGCCGGGAGAGTGCCGGGGGACAGAATGTACCATGTGCCAGCATTCCCGCGTGAGCCGCACCTCAGGGTGGCTGCTGTGGAGGGAGTTTTCCTTTTACGGGAGTACTCAGCCAAAAATAAGGAAGGAATAACAGAATTCAAATATCACCATTTTGCCAACTTGTAATGAAACTGTGGATCTCGGCGATGAGCATCTGTGGCTGACATCACGTGGGGGATAAGCTTAGGAATCCCCTGGGCTTACACCGCAACATCACAAGACGGGACCACCAGAAATTACGGGCTGTTCCTTTTGATAGAACATCACAGACCACCTTTGAATTCTTGTCAAAAAATCGAGGCAGAGTCAGACCGAACTTCACATTAATTGATACCACAGGGATTCAGGCAGAGTAATGCAAAATAGAGGGCTGTACGTAGCAGTCACAGGAGGCCAGTCAGTAATCCCGACGGTTAAAAAGAGATTGAACATTACCTTCTGGGGCACCTGGGTGGCTCAGCGGGTTGAGCATCCAACTCTTGATTCCGGTTCACGTCCTCTCATGGTTCCAGAGTTCAAGCCCCGCGTCGGGCTCCTCGCTGACAGTGTGGATCCCGCTTGGGATTCTCTCTCACTCGCTCTCTCTCTGTGCCCCCCCCCCCAAATAAATAAATAAACGTTAAAAAAAATTTAAAAGAATACAATTCCTATCAAAGTCCCAACCACATTGTTTGGTTTGGTTTTACTTTTTGTTTGTAAAAAAGGGAAAGACCCACCCTAAAATTCATAGGGAATCTCAAGGAACGCCGAGTGGCCGGACAGCTTGACAAAGAACAAAGTTGGATGGCTCTCACTTCCCGGTCTCAGAACTCGGTACAAAGCTCCATTCGTCCAAACAGTGTGGTGCTGGCCTAAGGACACAGAGACCGCGGAGTAGCACAGAGAGCTGAGAAATAGACCCTCACGCGCGGGTTTAATTGGTTCTTGCACAAGGACGCCTGGGTCATTTCGATGGGGGAGGACAGTCCCTTCCGCCAGGACAACTGGATATGCGCGCGCCAGAGAGTGGAGGCGGACTCCTAGCTCACACTGTGTATAGATGTGAACCAAAAACGGATCCAAGATCGAAATTTAAGGGTTAAAGCAGTAAGATTCTTAGAAGAAAACATAGGGACGACTCTTCACAATCTTTTTTTTGTGCTTTGTTTTGTTGTGTTTGTTAAGATTTCATTTTAAAATAATGTGCACCCAACGTGCGGCTCGCGTTCACGACCATGACCCCCAAGAGCTCTTCTGACGGAGCTGGCCGGGTGCCTGATCAGTGTTTGCGTGGTTTTGGCAGTGGTTTCATAAACGTGACACCAAACACTGGGAACAAAATTTTAAGTAAGTACGTTGGATTTCATTAAAATTGAAAACTTTAGGGGCGCCTGGCTGGCTCCGTCAGTAGGAGTGTGTGACTCTTGATCTCAGGGTCATGAGTTCAAGCCCCACGTTGGATGTAGAGATTACTTAAAAATCCTTAAAAGAAATTTTTTAGACTTAAGTGCATCAAAAGACACTGTTAGGAAAATGAAAAGACAACCCATAGAGCGGGAGAGATCGTTTGCATTGCAACTCCTATCATCGGATAGCAGTTTATTCTCAGGAATACATAAAGAACTTCCGAAACTCAGCAACAGAAAGACAGTCTGATTCAAAAATGGGCAAAGGACTTGACTGGACATTTCCCCCAAAGAAGATCTACAAGTAAGCACGTAAAAACATGCTCAGCAGGGGCGCCCTGGGGGCCCAGTCGGTTAGGCGTCCGACTCTTCATTTGGCTCAGGTCAGGATCTCAGTTTGTGATATGAAGGCCCACATTAGGCTCTACGCTGGTGCAGAGCCTGCTTGGGATTCTCTCTCTACCCCTCTCTCCTGCCCCTTCCCTGCTTGCGCTCACATGCGCATGTGGTCTCTCTCAGAATAAATTAGAGGAAAAAAAGGCGCTCAACACCGCAGTTGGAAGTGTGGCTGAGCCCCAGACGGCAGAGAGCTCACGTCTCTGTCGCTGCAGTATGTTACGTGGGGGTTTGTGTCACCGTCCGTGGGTAAAATTCTCCACAGTGAAAACATTTTTAAAAGTTAAAAGTAAATAAACCCATCTGTGCTCCGATTTTTATCATACATTTGAAGGTGGGTAAAATGTTTCTGAATCATGTGCTGACCTGCGTTTTGCCTTGTTGCAGGACCACGTGTTCTTGTGCGAAGGAGAAGACCCAAAGTCGGCCCCTAAAGGTGAGCTGCTGTTTTCTGTCCCTCCCCTGAGTGTGCTCGCTCTGGGAGAGTTGCTGGTGTGTCCCCAGGGGATGAGGGAATATTCCATGCCCCTTCCGGCCTGCTGACAAAAACAGGCAAGGTCGTGTTTGTTGCTGAGAGGATGTGTACTATTTGAAGAAAGCCAGGGACGTGGGCTCAGTTGGGTGGGCGAAGACTTCCCAGTGGGCCGCCATGGGCCTTTCTTCACTTCTTGTCATTGGTGGTCAGCCTACATCTAAGACTGGGGGTCCCCTTCTAGAAGCTGATGTCATGTAGTGAAGGGCAGGGATCTGAAGCCTTGAATGGACGTATGACCGAGGGTAGCACAGGCAGCACTGATGCAGAAGAGAAGCGCACAGGGGACAGCAAGACCGGTGGAGTGGGAAGGGGGGGAACGTGAGGCCTGTGTGTGGCGGGGAGAGCTGCCCTGCTGGCAGGTGCGTGCCAGCCTGTGCCTCGCCCTCCCAGCCGGCTGTGCTGAGAGTCACCACTCCCCCGATGGGGAACCAAGATAAAGGGGAGTCCCTTCATCTAGAAAGGCTGAGTGACTGTCCACAAGCCTTGCCTCACCTTGCTGGATCCCTCTCTTCCTCGTCATGCTCAAGTTCAGAAAGTTTGTTATTTGTTCTTGACGTGGAAGAAAGGGGAATGGGGTCCAAAAAGCAGTGTAAAGGAAGAATTAACTTAAGGAATTTTCCAAAGAGTTTATGGTATGAAGCCCTGGTTCAAGAATGCCCTCTGCTAATCGGTATGCGTTCTTGGGACAAGACGGAAGCCTTGCTCCGTGCTCGTTATGGTGTGCCCTTGGCGGCTGGTCTGTGCCAGTCTTGATGTGGAGCTCGCCTGTCTGGTTGCTGGGCCGCCTCTAACGGGATGGCATGCTGACTTTGTCCCACAGCCGCAGCCAGCACCTCGCCAGGAGAAGAGCTGGGGCAGAAGGGCGGCCCTGGAGACGCAGGCCACACCCAGCAGCCCGTGCCCATGCCCACAGCTGACAGCCACGAGCCCAGGTTGGGCCCCCGCCCTCGTTCTCACAACAAAGTCCTGAACCCGCCTGGAGGCAAATCCAGTATCTCCTTCTACTAAGAGGGGCTGCCGCTTCCCCTGTAGCCAGACAAAACACCGGAGAGATAGGATTTCAAATACTGTAGTCTTGTAGCCCAAAGGAACCGGGTGGGGAGAGGGTCTGTTGTGTATCTGAAGCCGCAGCTCGGGCACGTGGCCATCCCAGAGCTGCGGAGGACCTCACCTTCCAGACTGCCGGGAGACCTGTCTTGGTGGGTAGAAGACGGGACTTGCTTGTAACTGCAGACGTGATGGGGCTCTGCGAGGGGCGCGGGGGCCAGTGGGGCCGGGCCACGGTGAGTCCTGGTGGCATGGGGTTGCCCTCGGCCTTGCCGCACTGGCACTCTGCTGGCCGGCCGGGGGTCCAGAAATCACTAACACGGCAGCAGAGTTTAAATTTAAAGCCTTGGCAAGAAAATCGAATACAACATGTGTGTTGCCGTGGGATACAGGAGCAAGGTGTTGGCCAGAACACTACGGGCGGGGACTGGTGGGGGTGGGGTCTTTGGGTGGCTGGCCCCTCAGATCCTCAGCCCGTTGACCGCAGGACGGTTCCCGTGCCTGCCGCTGTGGCCCCCCGGTGCCTCCTTTGCCATCAGCCCCAGCGTGTGGCTCCGCGCGTTTCCTGACACGTCAGTTGCTTGTGTTCGGCAGCTGTCAGCAGAAACCAAAAAGTCGTTCTCAGTCTCACGCTTTGTGGCAGCATTTTGAGGTGCTCCGTGTCTGCCATCCAGACGCTTGGCCATGCGCAGGCTGGTTTCACTGTGATTTGTCCCCTCTTTTCCTCAGCGGCCTCCATGCTAGGTCCGTGCCCATCACCAGCCAGGCGGACAGACCCCTTCTCAAGTCAGATCTTCCTGTTGGCCAGCCCCCCTGACTTCTGCAGCTTTAAAACTGTCCACATGCATCCAGACAGCGGGTTACTTAAATCCTTCCTACATCTTTAGTCCTGTTGACGGTGGGAGGAAGCAGTGTTCCTGAACCTTGGGTTTGAATCTTTAATCTTTAATAATATCTAAAGAGCTATTATAAAATCCCAGCTTTACATAAGTGACTGTGGACGCTGATCTGTTTCTGACACCTTTCTAGGAAAAAGTCACTTGCTCAGGTAGAGTAAAGAGGAAGCAAAGTTCGCTTAGCTGCTCTTTATAAAGCTTTGCAGAACCTCCGGACCATGTTCAGTTTCCAGAGGAAACCTGGAGACCTTGGGCCAGAAGATGAAATGGTTCTATCGCGAAGTCTCAACTGGCCAATTCCTGCTACTCGCCAGCTGAGATAACGGGCTGGCCAGAGTCCCGTCGCTCTGATCTGTCGGGCGAAGGCTTCTCCCGCCTGCCCCTACAGGGCTACGTTCTCTGTTCTTACGCTCACTCACATTGGACCAACAGCTCACAGGGGACGGGGTTTGGGTGGGGGTACCTGTCAGTACGAGTGCCTACAAAGCCAGTGCCATGTGCTAAAAACACCTGCATCCTTATCACAGTGTAGAAAAGCAACAACGCTGGGTTCAGTCACACCCACCGTGGCCTAGACACCGAAGTGCCTGCGGGAGCCACCTGCCAAGCTCCACTCTTAAACCTGGTGCACGTGGCTTTGTCAACCAAAGACCGTTTTCCCCCTTTCAACTGCCCCGTGCTCTCTGGAGCCAAGAAACTCATTCCATGCAACTCTTCCCGTCTCGTGCAAGTACTTCCTGTCTCCACCTTTCAAATGGCCATTTATAGGAAAGTTGGTTGGAACTCAGAGCATCTTCCCCCCCATTAAAAAATGTCATAAATGGTGGTTAGGGCTTAAGCCCAAACACGTTAACGTGCGTAACGCAGGGTTCTCGTGGTAGAAATGAAGTACCATTTATGACTCTGTCTTGTGGTTTTCAGTGTGCAAGAAACTGATTTGTGAATTCCAAATTGGATCGCCAGGAACCCTGGTACCGTAGTGCTGGCCCCTGTGGCTTCACCCCTGCCCTCTCTGCCCACCCAGCGAGAGGAAGCAAGGAGGAGCTCTCCACTTCT